GAGTCCAACTTGGAACGAATCCAAGCGATTTTATCCTGCAGGTGCTCTGAAAATTCTTCCATGCGGCCCTGCAAATGAATCCCCAGCTCCCCCTTACTGAGGAGGGACCTATCATTGATTGTGATCTTTTAGTAGACTGAGCTTCTTACTCAGTTTTAGAATCTAGTTATGATGATGTTACCTAGTCGGGCAATGAAACGTCCGCAAGCCAACAACCAAGCTCAGAGAGCACCAAGGACTCCACAGTTCAACCCCAGATGTATTCTCTTCTATGAGATCTAGTTAGTTGCAAAAATACAGAGCCAAATGTTCTGTGAAAAAACAAATGTTAATTTGCTTTTTAAGAAAATATTGTTCTCTCATGTACCATGTGCTTGCATGGAAAAAATCTGCAGGTCCAGGACAGTAAATGCCCACAAATACTTAAGACAAAATATGTCAGTCCTTCCACTAACCATTCCCTCCAGCACCACAGCTTATTAAAAGCTTTGCAGATTCTTTTCATTCATTTCCAGTTCTCTTTCCTGGACCAGCAGTTGAACATTAAACTTGCTCTTTTCCAGCAGAGGAAACTCCAGTGGGCTTCAAAGCCACTGTTCTTATGTCTCACAGGCTGTGCTAGACTTGTTGAGTCACACAAAATCAACAAGAAGACGACTTGTGTTTGTTTGCTCGTCTTGTTTTGCTATACTTTCCAGCTCGCAAAATGTTGGAAGGAAATTTATGTCAAGGGGCTCAGGACCCTGTTAGTCTGCTGGATAACTCTCCAAAACATAACAGAATGGGGCCAAAGATGGCATGGGGGTTATAAGTCTGCAAAAGGAAACTCAAGTTCAAAAATGGACCTGATCTGGTTGGGGGCTACCGAGGGAAAATACTCTAGAAAGAAACCCCCAATGCGCCTCTGTAGAAAGAGCAGCTGGGTAGAGGTGCAGAATACTGCCCACCACTCTATTCTAAGCAACTTTACAACATGCTCATGTGATCCAGGTATCTGCAGCCTGCCCTGGGCTTCCCAATGCACACACCTACAAATGCACCACGTAACGATTTAACAAGTTACTTCACTACACAGAAGAAAATACAGACCTCGCTGGAAAGGATAACCAAAGCCCTTCTCTGTAGGCTTTCCCTACCTTGTTGGTTCTACATTGCCAGATTCTTAAGCAGCCTGAAGAGTCTGGAACTGAGAGATTCCTAAACTCGCCACAGATTCTGCTTGAAGCACCAACAAAAGCAACAGAAACAAGGGTTGGAAAATAATTAGCCTCACCTCGTCATTATTCCATTAATCCCTATGGGAGGGAACAGCTTCAGAGGTGACACTTCCCTTGTTTAGCCACAACCACATACCCTTGCTTGCTGTCTAGGAGGAGGTGGGAGAAGGGCAAGCTCTGATGATGGAGGGGACGCATTGCATGACCAATGCATTCCCTTCCTCCTCTTCTTTGCGACCCTTGATATTCAATCATTGGTGTTAGCACTGCTGGCAATCCTAACACACGAACCGGACCAAACCAATATGCTACAACAGGTAAAATGAAAATCAGAGAGCTGTAGAAAAGGCAGCTCCACAGAAGAGGACCACAGCCCCACGTTCTGGTCTAACTTGCCCAAATGTATTAGGGCTGTGCACACCTCATAAATGAAGTGCTGAAACTTTGCCCAAACCCAGCCCCTCTCTGCTTTTCATTTAAGCAACCCACCTTTTTTCAAGCTTGTACATAAGCCTGAAAAAAGATGCTGCTGCTTTAAAAAGTCAACTTATAATGCTCCTCTGAAAGCAGCTGGAACTTTTTTAAGGCTGCTTTAATGAGTAGCAAAGAGGTGCTGTACCCATGAGAAGTCTGAAGCACCTCTTCCAAGTTATT